TTTGGGAAGGGTGGAATATATCTTGAAACTGATTTGTTATTACATGATTTTTTTAAATTTGTTTTTAGGGGGTTTTGTTTTTTGGAGCAGAGGTCTTTTAACAAAGCAAAAACCTATCCTTCCCTTTGTTTTCCTTAAAGATTTAGGGGAAGACAATCTTTGTGCATTACAGTTTGCCATATCTGTACAAAATCATTTGACTGGAAGGTCATCCTCCTTATTTGCTGCATGTTAACTGGTGTTATATTTTATTGGAACACTGCAGGGTGCAGCAGTGCCATGAATGTGGACCGAAGGCAAACCCTGGTAGTACCATCACTCATGGCTTCAGAGAGTTGGAATTTGACAAAAGTACATTTTTGTAACTTCATGAAACTTCCATGGTGCTATGAAAAAGCTGTTAAAGATTAGCTTTCTACCAGGATCTTAAGGGATTTGTACACATGCTTGCGCCACATCACCGGGCGCTTTTACAAGTGCCTGGTGCTGTAGTGCATGCAGTTGTATAAGCGGTGAACTGCGCATGAGTGCTGAGAAGATGGCAGTGGTGTGCTTTTGAACTAAATCACGTCAAAGGTGTTTTAGTTCAGAAGTGCATCGTTGCCGTTTTCTGTGTGCTGATGTACATTTCACCTCTTATACAACTGCATGCGAAGCACTGCAGGGTGTGTCAGCTCGCATGGGGAGCAGACTCAATCAAGTCTGCTCCAACCTGCTGGATCTCTGGCATGTTGTGGGATGAAAAGGTATATGTATAAATGCCCTTAAATCTTCTCATGCTGTAGACTGATGTTAAGAGTGGTGGTGAAGAAAAAGGTAAAATAATGAAAGCAAATAAGCAAATTTCCGAATTGTAATTTTGCAGTTTATTAAAACCTTTGTTTTCATGCTCAGATATAAATTTAGAATACAGTTTTGCTAACTCCAGGTTTCTAGCTAAGCAGGACCAGTCTAGGGTTAATACTTGGCTGGAAGGTCTCTAAAGAGGACATAGCTATAGCAGGAAGAACTGGTGATTTCTCTCTTTATATCAAAGTGATGGCAATCTCTGAGAAGAGATGTAAAACCCAAGTTCCTTATTTACTGTCTGTGGTTATTTTGAGTTCAAAGGCCCTTTTCTGGGAAAAGGAAGTATTAACTCAGTATTGCAGCCTGCTGCCTGTTTCTCTAAAAAATTCAAAATGGTCTGACTTAGTAGCCAGCCTAAGGCCCATTTTCAAAGATTTATTTATTTTTAATATCCTGATTCCCAAAGATTCAGATAGGCTTAGTGGAATTTTCGAAAGTGGCTATGTACTTAACTGGTTTCAATGGGAGTTAGGCATGTGGCAGGTTCTGAAAATTTAACTAGGTTTGTGTATCTTTAGTTACCTTAATAATTACATTAAAAAAACTGACACTTAAGAACCCAAGTCTCAGCAAAAGTAAGTTGGGGTTAGCACTGGTGGTGTGGACACTGGGGCAAATGTCTGGAAGTCCAGAGGCCAAGAGTTCAAGGCCATGGCAGAAGTACTCACTATGCAGCCATGTCAGATTCCAGTGCCTCTGTGAACTCTACCGAATATTGTGTCACATGGACACAAGAAAGGAACATGGGGCCAAGGATCAGATTTTTAAAGGTTTTTTACACCTACCGATTTAGATAGGAACTTAGCAAAGTCTTCAAAATTAGTCTCCTCTTTCTTGCATTACATAGGCATCTCAGTGCAATTAGGTGTGTAGGGCCAGATTAAATTTTAAAGGTATGTATTTATCAGTGTCTACCCACACTGATATCATTGAAAATCTGGTCCTTACTAGCTAAATACTTCCCTGCAGTTTCATCTGGAAAAAAAATAATTATTTACTTCCTGTTCTAAGTTTTTTTTTATATAGATCAGACTATTAGACAAATGCAGTCTTTCACCATCAGTGGTGGAAGAAATGATCTGTTTGCATAACCATTTCAATTAAGCCAATTTACCATCTATACATTACTTCCTTTTTTATTCACTTCTTTACTTGTTTGTGCATTGCTTTTAAGCTGAACATATGCACATGTGTACTAAAAAATAGTGGAAGAAGTTTTTCTTTTCTTAGGCCAGGTACAGACATTACCCTTTTACTGGTATAAGTGAACAGAAACCAGTCTATACTCATGGTTTAAAAATGGCAGAACTCAATCTAAGATTTGCCCCCCTCCTCCCTCCAGGGCAAATATGTGGCTACCTATCTAAACTACACTGCTTACCAAAAACTGTGTAACTTAGATTGATTCCACCTCAGGCTTTTTGAATGTCTGTGCCTAGTCTTAATGCCTTTGCATTGTAGCCCAGTCAAAAATTCAGTCCAAACAAAATCTAATTTTGTTACTGCTTTTGTTTTACTGCATGAGGCAAATTACATACTGTTTGAGCCTCTGGGCCCCATTTCTGTCAATGAGAATGAGAGGCTAATAATAATCATTCCCATTCCCATTATCTAGTATTTTTTACAGCACCATGAAAGCAAGCCAGCATATGCCATCACCCAAAACTTTCACAATATGAAAAATTGGAGCGATAGTGATTATCAAATAACTGTTTGCATCTCAGGAGAATGACCTGGTCAGTGAAATCCTTCCTAATTCATTAAAATAGTCTGCTTCCTAAATGTTAGATATATTTGAAAAGGACTTTCTTTGGCTATGCTATTCTTTCAGTCTTTTGGAAAGTAGTTTCCTCCACTTCCAAATTTAGATTCTTGTGACAGATACTTTCAGATGTGGAATTCCCCATTCATGTCTTGCATTTAGATCAAGACCAAATATCATACAAATAGAAATTTCTTTTTAACATTTTATTTTGTTTTTAATTTTAAATCATAAATGCTTTTTGTTTGCATTTCTTGTTACTGTACTAACATTTACAGATCATCTTTAAAACGGAAGTAGGTGTGCTTCAGAAGCCATTTTAATAGGTAGCATTGAAAGCCATCCTTAGCTAAGGTGGCACAATAGCAGCAGTTTAGCTGCACTCAAAACACAATATGAAATTATCTGTTCTTAAAATTGTCACCTCACTGCTCAACTTCAGACAGCTGTTATGAGCTCTTCTACTGATGTTTGGCTCTTGAAATAAGGACAGCCTAAATGTTATAGGAAGAGAATGCTAATTGCAATATTGTTAATACAGATTTCAGTGATTAAATATGTACTAATTAGCAAAATGTGTCATGGGATGTATAGGATTATAGTAATAAGTGGTTCTCCCCTGCTTCATTCTCCTGTGCTCAATCCCCAGGACCTGATTCAGCATCAGTTACTTGACACTTCTGCAAGTGACTGTGATGCTTTTGACAAATGTTAATTGAGAAAGCACTGAAAGCCTGGCTGCACTGTAATCAAAAGAAAATTACAGAGGTTTCACAAGATGTCAGGCAAGTGCTTACAGAAAAGATAGACAAGTTTGAATAGGTTTTTTTGCAGCAGCAGCTGGCTAGACAAGAAGTTCAACAGGATTATGCAGACAGTACTCAAACATTCAATAAATTAGACTGAAAATAAGACATGACCTGAAAAAGTTTCTGATTTAAGATGAAGAATAAAGACAGAAAGATCACATTTGCATATATTGTTAAGAAGTGAATTAGTTTGCTCTTTTAAGAACTTAAAACTGAAAATAAATCCTGAATCAGGGCAATAATACTTCAGTCAATGCATTTTTACTGTCTGTAATGTTTATCCTTAAAGATTTAATTGAACAACGTGTAAAGGGAATAAGTAGTGCAAAATATTCTCTAAATGGTTGAAAAACATTTAAAGCTCTTATCCAAAATATTTTTTAAAAAATAAACTTTTTAAAAGACTCTTGAGAGAGCCTGATACTTCTTTTCTTGTTTGTGTTTGTGGTTTAATTAATTTTTTTTCAAAAAAATATGTTTTTGAGAAGTCGGCATAGCCCATGGATGTCAGAGACAAAAATCCTCTTGGTAGCCTACGAGTAAGTCTCTGGGACATAACCAAGAACAGCTTTAAAACAGAAACATGTCAGATCCATTTGTTTCTACTTTGTCTGTTAGAAGATGAGGTAACTATTTGCCTTGAGTTTGTAGTTTCCCAGGGCAGGGAACTGTCTGTGCTTTTTCTGTTCAGTTCCACTCACACCCGTGGACATGTAGGTATACTAAATGATGACCTTTCAGCTGCCTGTATGGCTACACTGTTGCTCAAATGGTGTCTAAAGATGGAATAGAATAGACACCAAAGCATTTCTATTTATTTTATATTGGTTACATTCATTATTTCCATGAATATATTTTCTATATAGGTCAGTAGAATGAACAGCTGTGCTTCTGAATCAGAAATTATTTGGCCTTAACCGCTGTTGTATTGACATAGAAAATTAAGTTATATACTTGCCACTGGCTTGAATTAGTTGTTTCTTCTTACCTGCTTTATCAAAAAAAAAAATGGAGCCTAAGATGTTTGAGCACTAAAACAACACATGTATGCTAGGCTTTTCTTCTGTTTGGATCTAATCAGGCATGCTAGAAATCTTTCAAGCAAGAATGACTGCTGGGTGGGAAGATGTTACAGTAATTATTTTCCTGCAAGGTGTATAGTGGGTGACTTGAAGTTTGTTGTTGTTTTAATGGCCTAGTTATTTACATTCCACAATGCTTTGTTGTTTACATCATGCCAATTTAAATTATCCTATCATGCCGTTCTTTCTCTGAGATTATCAGAATTTGGTTAGTTGTTTCATGCATATTTTCAAGTACTGATAATTCACCACTGGTGCCTCTTGGCTTTTTGAAATGTAACTATGAATTTGTATTGTATAGATAGTTGTAATGAGAATGTGCTGAAACCAACATATTAGTTTGAGATAGACAATGACTTTGAGGATGAGGGAAGATTTATACTGAGATAAAGAAATGGAGACACAAGAGTATTACGTAAAATTGCATAAATAACTTTTCCTACAGTTTCTTCCATAATTTTTAAGAACTTTATTATTACTCTCATTTTCAATCTACAGTGCCTACCACAGCAGTGACAATAACTTCTTCAGCAGAGTTGTACAAAAGTACTGTATCAACCACAAGCACCACTTCACAGAAAGGTCCCACAAGTACAACTTTATCTGGGGGAACAAAGGAAGGAAGCAGAGGACCCAAGCCACCACCAGCAGTTTCCACAACCAAAATTCCTCCTGTGACAAGTTTTTTCCCTTTGCCAGAGAGATTCTGTGAGCCTGCTGAGGCCCGGGGGATTAGCTGGCCTCAGACCCAAAGAGGAATGATGGTTGAACGCCCTTGTCCCAAAGGAACTCGAGGTATTGCCCTAAAAACATATCTTGATTCAAATAAATGCTTCACAAGCAACATGCAGCTCTTTTTTGGAGAATAATTTTTAATCGCAAGCTATTTTGTGATTTTTGTTACTTGAAAAATTTTGTGCCTTGAGGTTCAGGTTTTAATCTGTAAAAAGTATTTGAGTTTAGGCACAGAATTACCTTGCGTACACTTTTTGAGAATCCAGGTCGTATTTTAGGTCTTTGCTTTAGGACTGTAGTGAAACAGGCTTACAGCTGCCTTTCTCATTATGAGTTCTTCCCTGGATAACTTCCAGGTAAAAACCAAGGGCTTTTTTTGTTTATTTGCTGTAAAAGTCTGATAACTTGCACTGACTTTCTGTCGCCGTTTGTAATCTACATTATTTTTCTTCCATTGTCAATTATTGTCAACGGCTTCCACTTACGTTGTTCAAAATTTAGCATGGAGCAGGGATGCATCATAGCTGTTTTTCTGAATGCATTCAGAAAAATGGTTTCAATTTCCCTGTTGTTTTCTACATCTGTTGTAGGAACTGCCTCGTATCTCTGCATGGTTTCCACTGGAACATGGAACCCTAAGGGCCCTGATCTTAGCAACTGTACCTCACACTGGGTAAATCAGCTGGCTCAGAAGGTTGGTTGGAACCTTTTAATATGATATACACTGGTGATTAAGGGTTTTAACTCGGAACATAAATAATTCAGCTTTGTATGTTGAAACCATCTTTATTACTCTTTGTTCGTTTTAAGAGCTGGAAGAATTATGCATGCTTTGTCTGTAAAGCATTTACTAAAAGTTAGATTCACATGTGTTCCTTGGTAAACTGTTTTATAAATTAAGCTCTTTTAATGAGTCCAGGCTTACTTAATTTCATTGCTATTTAATTCAAGATAGCTTTTTTGATGTTCAAAAGACAAAATGTACATTCTCTTAATAAATCAAATATTATGAACTGCACACCAAAATATGCAATAGGCAAGCAGATGTTTAGCTTGCAGAAAATTATGATACAATAAACTAGATTTCTACAAAAGTGCATTAATAGCAGAATATGATTAGAGCACAGTTCCTCTTTTTTGTGTTTCCCTCCCTAATGAGCGTTACTGAGTTTATGGGAAAACTAAATAATTCACTGTCAATACCAAGCTACTTGACTTTCAAATGCCTCAAGCGCTGGTATGAGCAAATAGATTTCTTAGTGTCTGATAATAGCAGTAAAATAAAAGTGAAGATGAAATGGAAGATCTGGCCCAAAATTACCAATCTGATTTCTGCTTTTGATGGCTGTTAAGAACTGCTTTTGTGTGTCATGGATCTAAGAACCTTTAATCTTCTGAGATAAAGAGAAAGTTATTGGTCTCAATTAGTTGCAGATTTCAATGTATGTGCAAATGGTTATTTCACCACAACAAAGGTATGCAGGGAATTGGAATTAGGAGCCGCAAGCAGAACAAGGGATCCTGCTGAGATAATATAAATTGTCATTTCAGATCAGAAGTGGAGAAAATGCTGCTAGTCTTGCCAATGAGCTGGCTAAACACACCAAAGGACCAGTCTTTGCTGGCGATGTAAGTTCATCAGTGAGACTGATGGAACAGTTGGTGGATATTCTTGATGCTCAACTGCAAGAACTGAGGCCTAGTGAAAAGGACTCTGCTGGACGGAGTTATAACAAGGTACCCACTTTAACACCCCTCCCGTAGCTAGGATAACACTTCCCCTGTGGGTTATGTTTTTCCTTTCAGAAACATTGCTGCCAAATCTATACTTTTTTCTGGAATGCTCAAATTTCCTGACGGCATGAGAAATAAAGGGTGTAGGGGAAAAAACAAATCCACAAGAGTCTGTAAATTATATTAATTTGGTGACAGGATGCAACCTTCAGCAGCTGACTGAGGCAAAATATATTTGTACCCTTTATTAAAATATATTCCTAATTTGGATGAAAGGGGACAGTACTTTTCTTTCAAGAGTAACAAGAATTTAAAAAGCTTGTTCTGCAACAATTTTAGCCCTGTTCATATGCTAAGGTCAAAGGTGCCATAAAGTATGTTGCAGGATTAGAAAGTTCATTATCTTATTTTAGATGTCAGTTCATGTAACTAATGATAATTGGGGATATTACACATCCATCAAGTTACTACTATCAACAAATAGTAAATCAGATTAAAAATAGCTGTTGGCTTTTGAATTATTAAGAAAAGGGTTATTCTAGTTTTTTCTGGATGCTAAGCTTCATGACTTGCCTCTTCCTCCCATTTGTATGGAGTTAGTCGTTACTGTACAGATTAAGGGATGCTTTTTTGCCCAGTCTGTTATGGAAGGACTATCTCATTTTCACACCATCCATTCCTGGTAGCTGTGACATTTTAGCCCTTGGAAAGATGAGTTTAATTCAAAACTCCTAGCAATGGTGCTCAACAAATCTACTCCAGAAACTGCAGATACGGCCACAGAGGCATAGTCTCACCTCAAGCATTGCACAGAACTTATACTAGTGCAGCAAATGTAGGTTTAGTCTGTGTTATGGCTGGAAAGCCATGGGCTCCATAATTTTGCAGAGCCCCATGGAAATTCATTGGGCTAACATTAGACAAGACAACCAGATTCTTTATAATGCAAATTTAGGATTTGACACACCAGCCTAATTTTTGGATATTTCTGTAGCTTTCCAGAATGTGTCTAACTTCTGATTTTCTTTTTTCTTACTAAAAAGCTCCAAAAACGAGAGAAGACATGCAGGGCTTACCTTAAGGTATCTCTCCTGTGCTGTCACCCTGCTTTCTCCCTGCTTCAGCAACCTGCCACGCTTTATCATCTTGCTGCATGATCCTATGTATTTCAGTCTTTGATAAATGTGTATTGTGCCCCATATCAGCTGTACAAATGTTGGCTTTGCACAGGTATAAAACTCTCAGAATAAACAAATACCAAAGTTTACAACTTTTTTTCTCTTCCACTTGTCCAAAAGTACAAGAACAGCATTGGGCATTATCTGAATTGGAGATAACCCTTCTCTTTCCTTGTGTTGCTCTCTGGGGAAAAACAAATCCGGCAATCTAACAGAAAAGGCATCATGTTGGTAGTTTCTTGTATCAAAGACTGCTTAGCCATAATGTATGTGCATGAAAAAAATCACATTATACAGCCTGCTTTGTTCTTTCTGTGGTTCACTCTTAATGTCAGTAAGACATTATTTTCTCCAAAGATTCATTTAAGAGTCATTACAAAGACCAAATATGGCAACGCCAGGATGAACTGCAAATAAAATACAAGTGCTCCTAAATTTTTTCTAGTGCAATATGTGCCAAGTGTCCCATTAACCATGCTACAAGGAGGCATATAGCACATTGTTACCTAATTTTTAATTTATTTTAGATCTTCACTTGTCAGTTTGTGTAATGTCCAGTCCCCAGTCTGTAATCCCATGCCAATGATGTCAGTGCCACCAAGCAATCCTGTTAGCAGAAGAAATTGGCCCAAGCTAGATCATGTAAGTGGCTTTTAAACATTATATTGCACGGTTTTTCAAAGTTTCTTTTTTAATCTTCCTAGCTTTTGCTTACAAGAATAATACAACTTTGAAACACCGCACAACATAATAAAAATAAAATACACTTACCTAACAGTGGCCCCTGAATACAAGATGGTTTCACATTCCAGTCTCAACTCCGGTACATTCTTGTGCAAAAATATAGGAACCACCTGGTCTCAGCAAGATTTTGCAAGATCTGAGAAGAAAAAGGGAGTTGGGAGAGTCATATGTTAAATAATAATTTTCTAATAGTTCCTTTTAGCCTGGTTAATAGAGAGCATGGCAGATATTGTTGGAGTGGATTGAAATGTCATAGTTCTATTTGCAAGTCACCTTTTAAGATAACAGTTAATGTTTGAACTGTAGTACTGTAATTGGTGTGTTGTCCAAGACTCATGTCACTGAGACAGGTGTAGTTTTCTTTTTCCCCCCTCCCTCTTTTTGGCAGAGATGAGTGCCGCAAAATGTTATTACATGGATGATCATTGTGATTCCACTAGAGAAATACAAAGAGTTAGATTATACTGTAATAAATAAGGAATGCCTCAAGTTAATGAATGCATATAATCAGCACTGTATATAGATGCACAAGAAACTGTAGCACGACCTTAATTTCTGACTAGTGTCATTTTCAGTAGGTCTCAAATGAGCTTCCCTGTTCAGATAAGACTAATAAACCTCTTGAAATTACAAATCAAAAGCTGACTTACACTATGCAAATGAAGCAAGTTCCCACTTTGTGACAGAGGATTCATTTGTACCTCAGATTAGAGGCTCCAATCTGTATTTCTTGGTGACTAATGAATCTGGCCTCTGCAGACCAATTTCTGTTCCACTCTAGTTAATGGCTGCAGCAGTATCAGTGTGAGCATTTTGACTATTCTGGCTCCCATTAGAGAAGAAAAAAAGGCTTTAATGCCACTTCGAAGTATCTTCCACCTGCCAGGAAGGTCGTGATGGCTCACAATGCAGACAGAAAGAGGATATTAAGATGGATTAGGCTAATTAATCTTACTTTGACAATAGCCTCAACCAACTTTTCGTATTCATTCATGTGCACAGAGTGTAGTATTCCAAACCAGCATCTTTTTTTGTTTGTATAATGTGTTATGTTTCCATTCCCAGTGCTTTTAAATTGATCAAACAAATTATATATATATATACTTATATATATATATGCTTAATGACACATTATGACTAGGTAAATGGGACAAAGTAAACATAGTGATTCAGCAATGCATGGCATATTCAATGCACAGCTACATTATGCATTAATGTAAGAGCTTGGCTTCAATTGATTAACTGATTACTGTGATTGATTGGTTTATTTTGTAAAGGGAATATAATGATGTCTCTGAATTCCTTTCCCCCTTTATTTACTGATATTTTATATGCAGCTTAATGAACCCTAATATGTGATGATAGAGCGGTCACAATGCAGATTTTTAAAGTGGCAACTTTGCTCAGTTTTGTTATTTTGCCTTCAGTGATAACAGGGACAGTCAGTGGACATCTTGTTTGCTCTATTGATTTCCTTTGTTAACTGACCCTTGTGCAGGAATGGGAGTTAGTAAATAAAGGGGGAAAGGAATTCAGAGACATCATTATATTCCCTTTACAAAATAAACCAATCAATCACAGTAATCAGTTAATCAATTGAAGCCAAGCTCTTACATTAATGCATAATGTAGCTGTGCATTGAATATGCCATGCATT